TGTTTTCTCTTTACTCTCAGCCATGCAGAAGGGGGTTGATGCCTGACAGGAAGAAGAAATGAAGTGTCATTCCAAGTTCCACAGCGGCAGACATATTAATCTGTCCCCTATGCTGATTTAACAGAAGAAAAACCATAATCTGAAAGACACACAGCAGGACAGGAAAACTACATCGCACATCGGGATGCTGGGTTTTTAACTCCTGAGCTACATCTCAGACCTACTTAATGAAGAGTTCAAAAGCACAGCACAATTGATCTGATGTGCACTGTAGTGTGAGGATACTTATTGTTTACTGGGAAGTGTTTTGCTCCTGGGCCAGGAGCTGTTATAACTTAATAGAAGCACCCTACAGCTCCATCCATATCTCTTTCTCTTTGAGAAGAAGGAGACCAAGGTTCAAAAGCAAGAAGTAGTGGGACAGGACTAGTACATCATGCTTGCCTAGCCTCTGCTTCCTTTTTCCATCTCATTATTGCTTTCACATCTCTGAATTTCTTCTTTTTGACTCTCAGGCTCAGAATTCATTGAGAGGGGCCTCATTGACGTAGTTAGGAACTATCTAATATGCATCAACAGAAATAGCCAGCTCTGTCATGTGGCCTCCACAGAAGCCGCTGGTCTTCCTCATATCCAGTCTGTTGATGGTTACTTTTGTAAAAAGCTCATACTTCTTACAAGACAAAGATGGTGATGGCAACAGGGTCATCTGACCAAAATCAGAAATCTTGTATATAAAGAATTTCTGTGACCTCTTTTCTCAGGAGTTACAGGGGTAGACAATTGAGTTTCCTTGTATCTGACTCAACCAACCACACAGGGCTGATACTGGGCTTTCGGATGAACATAACAGGAAGTATGAACTTTTGAAGGACTCACTTTGAGTTTTAAGAGCAAAATTTAGCAAATAAATACAGAACACTAGTTAAACGTCATCTCAGACATATTTGAGACCAACTTATGTCTTAAAATACTGAGACATATTTACCCTAAAAAATTTATTGCTGATAATAAATTCAGATCTAACTGGGAATCTTACATCTTATCTGGCATCCAGTATAACACAACAGAGAATAGTTCTGTTGTGTCTAAGTTTGAGCTGCAGCACCTGGACCCAATATGTTCTTGCTAAGGTCCTAAACCAGGTATACCCACACACTAAGGAGATTCTTCCTTGAGTAAATATTCCCCAAAGGACATCTTTGAATAATCAAACTAACTCATTCAACAAATGCAAACTGGAGCATCCAGCAAGTATTAAGATCTGTGCTAAATTCATTGAAATTCAGAGATAAACTAACACTGGTTCCTGTCCTTAAAAATAGGAACTGAACAACAAGACCAATAGGTTTCAAATCATATAATTACAATAAAACTGAGTAAGTGCTAGACAATAAAGGTTGTGGTACTAGGGATCCGATGATTGTATTCACCATTCTATCCCCCAAAGAATGCAGGTGGCTAGCACTCAATAAATAGTAGGGGGCCATGATAGTGAACATGGGAGGCATGATAACACCAACAAGGCACTGTGGAGTCATGGAAGCAGATAACTCACCAAAGGAGACAAGGTGGTGAGGAGGTTGGTTTCATTCTAACAGAAAAGTCTAGTCAAGAGCATGATGTAGAAATACCCCAAGCAGATGGCCAGGAGAGCCTTCTTGACAGAGGAACAAGAACCTAGCATTTCAGTGAGGAGAGAACACCCTGCTGAAGACAGAGATAAAGTAAAAAAAAAGGTAAGGGGCCAAGAAGTCTGAACTTCATCCCATGGGTGACTGTCATTAGAGACTTTCATACAGAGAAGTGGCATGACCTCCAGGGGATCTCTCTGGCATTAGCATGGAAGGTAGACTATGATGAAGGACAGATGATTAAACACTACTAATATGACATATCCTGACGATAATGGATTTTTAGAAGTATTAGGAGATATGTCTGTGGAATTGATCCCTTGTGAACTCCCTGTGATTGCCTTCCTCTGTCCCCTTCTGCTCCTAACTGTCATGGTCCATAAAGGGTCAACACTGGTGAGAAGAGGAAGTCAGGCAGGAAAAGGAGGTGGGAGGCAGCCCAAGACAAACTTCCTCCACTTCCTCATCTTGCCAAAGGAAACCCCAGATCTAGAAAGTGGAGAAAAACATCCAGGCCCTAGGAACTCCTTTCCAGAGGGGACGGACTCACTCTGGTTGGCACAGTTCAGGCTCTCCTTGCTCTCTCGGCAGGCTCGGCTTCATCCTGTGCCCAGCAAGCACACACTGGAAAGTGTCTTGGGATGCAGCAGCCCTCTTTTGTCTGGAAAGGACAGGTCTCCCATGAGTATCAACAAAACATGGAATATTAAGTTGAAGTAAGATTAAGCACCTCCCCATGTATTAAGCCTGGGCAAGGCAACCCAGTATGAGCAGAAGACTCCCAAAAGTCGGTAAGATTAAGAGACATCCCCTGTTCCCACTGTTGGGTGTCCCACCAGAGGACCAAGCTACACAACTGTAACATATATGCAGAGTGCCTAGTTCAGTCCCTTGCAGGCTCCCTGGTTGTCAGCTCAGTCTCTGTGAGGCCCTATGAGCCCAAGTGAGTTGATTCTGTGAGTTTTCTTGTGTTGTCCTTGACCCCTCTGGCTCCTACAATCCTTTCTCCTCCTCTTCTGCAGGATTCCCCAAACTCCACCTAATGTTTGGCTCTGGGTCTGCATCTATTTCCATTGGTTGTTGGATGAAGCTTCTCTGATGATAATTGGGCACCAATTGGGCACAGGCTATGCATCCATTATTGCCAGGAGTCTTAGCTGGAATCATCCCTGTAGATTCCTGGGAGATTCTTTTGCACCACATTACCTGACCCTGAAATACACCCCCTTTCCAGTAGTCTCTTTCAGTGCTCTCCTTTTCTGACCTCCAACCTGGTGTTTTGTTCCCAGCCCCACCCACTCTCAGTCCACTCACAAAATCTCTTCTATTTCCCTTTCCCAGGGATATCTGGGTGTCCCCACCCTATGAACTCTCCTTGTTCTGACAGAGGGCTGATTTCCAAAATATATAAAGAATCCAATAAACTAGATATCACCAAACCAAGTAATTCAATTTTTTAAATGGGGTATAGATCTAAACAGATAATTCTCAACATAAAAATTTCAAATGGCCAAGAAACATTTAAGGAGAATTTCAACATCTTTAGCCATCAGGGAAATGCAAATCAAATCGACTCTGAGATTCCATCTTACATTTGTCAGAATGGCTAAAATCAAAAACACAAATGGGGCTGGAGAGATGGCTCAGCGCATTGCCTGCTCTTCCAAAGGTCCTGAGTTCAATTCCCAGCAACCACATAGTGGCTCACAACCATCTGTAATGAGGTCTGGTGCCCTCTTCTGGCCTTCAGGCATACACACAGAAAAAAAATTGTATACATAATAAATAAATAAATACACAAATGACAACTTATGCTGGAGAGGATGTGGAGCAAGGGAAACACTCCTCCCTTCCTGGTGGGAGTGCAAACTTGTACAGCCATTTTGGAAGTCAGTGTGGTAGTTTCTCAGAACATGAGAAATTAATCTACTGCAAGACCCAGCTATACCACTCTTGGGTATATACCCAAAGGATGCTCAATCATTCCACAAGGACACATGCTCAACTATGTTCATAGCTGCGTTACTCATAATACCCAGAACCTGAAAACAACCTAGATGTCCCTCAACCAAGTAATAGATAAAGAAAATGTGGTACATTTACACAATGGAGTATTGCTCAGCTGTTAAAAACAAGGACCCAAGGAAATTAGAAAGCAAATGGATGGAACTAGAAAAAAAAATCATCCTGAGTGAGGTAACCCAGACTGAGACAAACAAACATGTACTCACTCATAAGTGGAAATTAGCTGTAAAATAAAGAGTAACTATGCTACAATTCACAGACCCAGAGAGACTAGGTAGTATATGCCTTTAATCTAAGTCCTGCACTTGAGAAGCAGGCAGATTTTTGTGAGTTAGAAACCAGCCTGATCTACATAGTGAGTTTGGGGGCAGCAAGACTATGTAGTTTAATCCTGTCTCAAAAAAAAGAAAAATGAAGATAGGTAGATAGATAGATAGATAGATAGATAGATAGATAGATAGATAGATAGATAGATAGATGAGAAAGAGAACCTTCTATTTGGAAAGAGATAGGAAACAAACCTTCAGGAAGAAAGCAAAGAAAGTAATAAAGAGTGTCATAATGAAGCCCTTTATTGTGCACAGTAAATATACACTACTGAAAGAACACGTGCACCATAAATGTGCTTGGCAGAAGCCTCGTCACTGCTGGACTATGAGTTCCTTGATTAATAAATAGCCTCCCAATTGTTATTAATCAAATGAGACATCCTATGCGAGCAAACTCAGAATATAATCCTGGAATCCCTATACATGCCTCACTTCTCTATTCCTGAACTGATGGGGAAATTTGTCTGCCCCCTGGAGGACCATCTGGTCTTTTCTGGATTCAGTTACATAAGCCTCGTTTTCTAAACCCAAACTGAGCCAGCTGCTAAAGAATAGCTTGAGAAACCACGGCAAGGAAAGCAAGTATAATCCCAGGCATCATGAAAGTGCCACTCTTCTGAAGGAGACAGAGAGTAATTAAATAATCAGATGCAGAAACATAAAATAAGACTAGTAATGAGTAACATTAAGGAAGGGAGCCCATTCAATAAGTTACCTCAAAGGTACAGAGGAATGGCTCCTGGGGCTGGCACACACTGGCAGTGGCTGGACCAAAAGGAAGGCTGGGGGCTTTGCTTTCCTGTTAACTCATTTCCCAGAAATATCAATTCCCAAAATCCAATGTAGTCAGAATGACAAGACAAGGGGAAGCTTGGCCTGCCTCCTGGTCCAATCCCCAGCCTGTTGTCCTACAGCTTGTCCTTACCCCAAAATAAATAAAGCCCCATCCAGGCTGCTACTCCAGGACTCTACACAGCTTCCTAGGGAAAGTTGACCTTGCTACAAAGCCACCATGAACTTCTTCACTGTCCTGCTGTTTGCCAGCCTTGCCACAACCTCTCTTGCTGTCTTGCCTGGTGAGTATGCCTTCTTTCCCACTCCCTTTTGTCCCCTAAAGGCCACCAGGCTTCAGATGAGCAACATCATCACACTTATGGAGAGGGATAAGATGTAGAATAAAAACACCACCACTGGAAGCAAGCATGACAACATATATCCCCTGAGTCCAGCAACCCAACAAACCAAGGCAGACTAGTCTAGTTCAGAGTCCAGACTAGACCCACAACAAGGCAGACTGTGGCTGAGCAGAGATTATGTGAGATCCTAACACCAGAGGCTGATTCAGCACAACTCAAGCAAAATCACTGCTTTAGACTGCTTCATCTCCCTGGTGTAATGAAAGCAAACGGTACACACCACATTCATTACTATCTGTAGCACTCACTTTGAACTATATATAGTTCCAGGGACTTAGGGCACACTAATAGTTTACATAAAGATCTCTACCATCACTGAAATTTTATTTGAGGAGGAAGAAAAAATAAACATACTAAATAAATTACACAGTATTTTAGAAATGGTAAAGAAAGTTGAGTAAGGATTAGTGGGAAGAGGTGGTGCACACCTGCACTTCCAACACTGAGGAAGCAGAAGCAGGGGACTCATGCAAGTTCCAGGCCAATCAGAGCAAACATGTGAAGACTCAGCACACTGAAAACTGGTAAGTCTCTGTTGGTGACAAAAGACTGGAAAGTAAAGGATGCTAGGAAGATGTGAGCAGACAATGCCTCCTGCCGTGAGTCTGTCCCTCCCTGTTGCACTAATTGGCCATAGATCTGGGAGCTGGGAACCTTTTGAACCATCAATTATGCTATGTAATCATTGGAAACTGGAATGGGAACAGCACCTCACTCCCAAATGTTGGCAAGTAAAATGTTTCCTCACCCTGATACAAGGGTGCTTCATCAGTTACAGGCACTGTACCACACAGCCCAAAAACTTTAAAAATTGCAGAGGCCAGTTTTGTGGGTTAACTCTAAACATGGTTGTCAGGAGCCATTTCAGGCTTCTCCTTTCTCACATCTCACAGGGCCTTGAGGTGGAAATCTTGAGACAGAAAAACTTACAAAGTTAACTAAGACCTTGTGTGCTGACCTTGGAGGTTCAAACTTCAGACAGCACCTCAGAGTGTCTTCTTTGTTTGCTGCTTATCACTAACAGCAGGTGCTCTAGCCACTGACCTTGCAACTGCCCTGCTTAGCTGCCTAGCTACTGAGCCCCTCCTTTCCTTCCCTCCTTTCCCCCTTACTCAGTTCCCCCCTGCCCGAGCTCCTCACTGAGGAGTATAAACAAAAAAAAAAAAAACTTGCTTCAATAAACGGGATGCCTTGACAAGGAATACTGCTTGGCATCCGTTTCTCTCTCCCCCAATGTCTTTCAGATAGTGCCTCTTCAAGACCCTGGAGTAATTTAGGACCTGCTGGGCAGGTCACATGATTTAATCTTGAGCTAACTTCCCAGATTAACTGGGGGAAATCTAAGAAGCTAAAGGAGAAAAATACTCAGAGTTCAGAGGGAAGAACCAAGGTTAAGCTCCTCCTATAGACCAAGCAAAGGGAGAGGTATTTGCAAATGGCTCCTAACTGAGAAGGTAGATGGGGGCGGTGGCAATTCTTAAACATGACACTAGAAATCCGGTCCATGCCTTTGAAGAGCTCATGATATGAACACTAGCATAGGACCTCAATGCCTCCATAAGTCAGTTTGTGTGAAGGGACACTGTTTCTCCTAAAAGTGTTCTCTGTCCTTAACTCCCTGCTTGCATGTCCTTGGTTCCAGCTTCCCAGTCCACTCCCACCAGCCACATCAGCAAGGAGAGTACTTCTAGTAATAACTCTTCCAAGGAGCCGTCCATCTTCAGAGAGGAGTCGGTTTTCAGAGATAATGTGTTGATAGAATGTGCCAAATCAAAGAGTCAAAAGGCCCAGGCCAGGCTCAGAAGTGGGGCATCTCATCTGGAAGAGACCATAGGACCCATTACCTCAACTGGTGTGTGCTAGAGAAGAGACATGTCTGGGGAGGTGGTGAGCAGTGAAGGGCAGGGTAGTGACTTATGTAAAATGAGGTTTCATAAAGATAAAAAAAAAAGTTCTAGAAGGGTGGAATTTAAGATCCATTAACTGCCAGCACTGCAGGAAGCTGTGTGAGGGGTCATGAAGATGTGGATAGGGAACCTGCCCTAACTGGACATTTCTATCTTCAAATTACAGAAACCACCATAGAGGGGAAACTGACTAAGTTAAACATGGCAATGGGAAAAAATCTGGGTAAAATAACTGAAGAATGTATGGGTGATGCCAATTATATCGCGAGGTCATGAAGACAAGAATGACTAATCACGTCCCATGCTGGGCCACAAGAAGTTCCTTCATCACCCACACTCTGCTCATCCCAGCCAACACCTCTCAGTCTGCCCTTCAATGTCTGACATTAAAGTGTTGCAACCTGAACCCGGGTCTCTGGTGACTTTATCAGGCCCAGGAATGGAGGTGGGACACCTTCACTCTATTAAGGTTCCTTTTTTAGCTATCCTTTAGGTCCCTTTAGGTCCAAAATTCTCATCCCCCTCAGCTAACAGGCCTGATCAAGTACTCCATCCATACAACCCCTGCAAAGATTTTATCCTTGTCGTCTTTCTGCACCTCCCTCATGGACCACCTCCATGTCTACTCGCACACTGTAGTCTACCTGCTCCCACCAGCCCACTACAGTTCCTCTCCCAATGGCCACATACAACAGGCCCCATGGCTGTTTCTCAATTCTGACTTTTCTACTCTGTCCCTGCAGGACTAGACACAACTATCTTCTCTAGGATCTTTTCTTGGACACTACTACCCTTGGTTATTCAATCTCCATGTTCCTTTTGTGAAATGTTTGGTATCTGATCCTAGGTCCCATCTGTACTCTCTAGCCTTCACCTCTTCAGAGTTCCCATAGCCTCACCTTCCAGGACTTCTCAGAGGGAATCCCTTTCATTAGCCCACTTAGCTAACATCTACCAAGTGCCTGTCAGGCCTGCCTCCCTAATTTGCTCTGACTTCCCTGTAACCTTAAGAGTTTTCACTGCATATGAAACATGGGGAAATGAAAGTCTTTTTCTGTCTTAAAAACATAGGCAGAGAAGATTGCCTATTCAAGAGTATGTAAGACAGCAGGAAAATGAGACATCTCTTCTCTCCAGCACCCTATCCCCAGGAAATGTGAAAAAAAAAGTTCAGAAGACCAAAGGAGTAACTAACCCGCTACAGCACAGCGCTGTCACTGTTCTGACTGAAAAGCAGGGAAGAAGTGTGTCAAAACCAAAACCCCAGAAAATCACTTCCTTACCTTTTTGTTTTCCTCCGGGATAGAAAGCCCTTTCTTCAAGCTTCCTGATGCTCTCTGGTATTAATCAACTGTAACTATCTCCCAAGCAAGACAGAAAGATCAACACAGAGTCTTCCTGATGCCACAGTTTACAATATGGCAACAATTCTCACCAAGATAACAGAAAAAATAATGTAGGATTTTTCAGAAAGAAATTGGAGGAGACATTTCCTATGAAGTTACATTAGAAAAATGGAAGTGTTTGGGAGATTAAGGCATAACAAACTCACACTATAGAAACCCATTGCCCAGTGAGAACCAAAGCAAGTACCTAACTACTTGCTGGTCAGCTATGCCAACAAACCTAAAACGTGGGGTTTCTTAAGTAAGACACATTGGGATAAGGGACTTTCCAGTCTCTGAAATTCACTTAATACACCCCTGCTGACTCCCGGGAATCACAGAGACAGAACTGGGAAAAGCTACTAGCAGGCAAATACCTAAATACTCATCTGGAACGACGCCCTGGGCCACCCTCCCTCTACTCTGCTGCTCCTGTAGGAAAAGGATGCATAGGAGGGAAAGACCCTGACATAAAGTAGTCTCCTTGCTTCCAATTCATGGGTAAGCCTGCAGGGTGGAGAGAAAGACCAGCATAAGAACAGTCTCCTAGTTTTAAATGTTTGACTATTTGTGACCCAATATGTAACCAAATGACCTACTGGTCTATGTAGTTGCCACTATGTGGCAGGCCCTATTTCTGAATGAGTTACAATGATTTGCTCACATAATTCTGTTTTTAAAAAATCAAATGCTATTATATCCACTATCACTTGAAGCAGGTTCTCAGCCCATGTTGTACACACTCTGGATCCAGAAAGGGAGGAGGTGACTATTGGCCCCCAAGGCCATGAGGTAGATCTAAATAGATCAAGAATTAATTTCAAAAATGTACAGTGTCTTAGATTCTACTTCCTCCACCTCAATAACTCAGTTGCTCTGCTAACACAGCTCACTTGAGGGTTAAAAGATACATAAGAGTCAAGCATAGCAGTAATATAGCAAATGGCTCAAAACCAGTAACCAAAAATAGCCTAAAATTTAGCATAAGCCCCCTACTAAATTCAAAGAAACAAAGAGCAGCATTGAAAAATACCCTCTATTAAACTAAAATGCAGCTGCTCTACCAGAGGTCACACCAGCCACCAGAAGCCCAGTCCCCAACTCTGGTTGAGACCCCCCCTGATCAAACACAGGCCACAACAGCCAAAATACCAGAGGAAACAGAAACCAAGGAACAAAGCACCCATTCAAGAAAGACAAACTCAGAAATCAGCACCTAGACCTATTAATCACCCTAAGTAAAATGTATATCCACCAGCGTGGAAACACACTCAGTAACAATCAAGACAATGTGTCACCACTAAAGCCCAGCAATCATACTGCAGCAAGCCGTGAGGATTCCATACATCAGAACCATAAGAAGAAGACCTGAAAACCAACTATATAAAGATGATAGAGGCCTTAAAGAGGAAATTAATAAAACTCTTAAAGAAATCAAGGCAAAACAAAGAAACAGTTGGAGGAAGTGAACAAATCCCTAAAGAAAGCCAAGGGAAAAAAAACAAATAGTAGAAGGAAACAAATGAAACTGTTCAAGACCTGAAAAATGGAAGCAATAAAGAAAATACAAACTGAGGGAATTTTGGAAGTGAAAAATCTAGGTAAGTGAAAAGGAACTGCAGAGGCAAATTTCACCAACAGAATACAAGAGGTGGAAGAGAGTATCTTAGGCAGTGAAGATATGATAGAAGAAATGGAAACATCTGTCAAAGAAAATGTAAAAATTCCTGACACAAAACATTCAGGAAATCTGGGACAGTATGAAAAGACAAAATCTTGGAATAATATGAATAGAGGAAGGAGAAAATCCCAGATCAAAGACCAAGAAAATATTTTAACAAAATCATAGAAGAAAATTTTCCTAACCTAAAAAAGGAGATCCCACAGACTGTGACTACACAGAGTAGACCAAGAGGTGAATGACCAGGTTCCCCAGCTGGACAGCCTAGTCTCTAGGTCCTAAACCCAAACACACACACACACACAGGAAAAACCCTGGGCCCATTCCCCACCTGCCTCAGTTTCACTAGCTGGCAAGCCTCCTGCAGGAAGGCTACTGCAAGCCCCCCAACACTGGGACTCTGTAATCTACATGCCCCACTCTGCCCACAAACCCACCCATCCCCCACAACCTCAGCAGCTCTCTGGGGCACAAATTGCAACTGCACAAAGTGAACCAAGAGGTGAGTGACCAATTCCCAGCTGGATAGCCCAGTCTCTAGGCACTAGGCCCTGGAAGCAAAACCCAGGAATCCTCCCCCACCAACCTCAGCTGTACTAGCTGGCCAGCAGGTGAGTCTCCTGCAAGCAGGCTGCTCTATTACCCTGCCATCAATCAGACCCTGTAATCTACAAGACCCACTCTACCCCCAAACCAACCCATCACCAGAGACCTCAGCAGCTCCCTGAGACACAGACAGCAACAGCATAGAGTAGATGAAGAGCAGCTCCCTCAGACACAGACACCAACTGCAACAATTGGTCCAAGAAAGGATCCCTCAGACACAGACACCAACTGAAAGGATTAGACCAAGGGAAAAAGACACTATGTGCACCAATTGGAGGAAGAGAGGGTAGGTGTCAATGCAAGAATACATTCAACAACCTAAAAAACAACATGGTGACACCAGAATCCAGTGAATCCAGTAGTCATACAACAGGGAGACTGAACAACCTGCCCCAGAAGATGCAGAAGAAAACAACCTTAAATATAACTTTATGAAGGTGATAGAGACCCTTAAAGAGGAAATGAAAAATTCCCTTAGGGAAATGGAGGAAAAAAGAAACAAAAAATTAGAAGAAATCAATAAATTTCTTAAGGAAACCCAAGAAAAATCCAGAAAAAAAACATCAAAAATGTGAACCAAACAGTTCAAAACTTAAAAACTGAAATAGAGACAATATAGAAACCAAGGAAACTCTGGAAATGGAAAATCTGGGTAAATGAACAGGAACTACAAATGCAAGTATAACCAATAGAATACAAGAGATAGAGGAAAGACTATCAGGCATTGAAGACACAATAAAGGAAATAGGTTCACCCATCAAAGAAAATGTCAAATCCAACAAATTCTTAACACAAAACGTCCAGGAAAACAGGAACACTATGAAAAGACTAAACCTAAGATCAATAGTAATAGAAAAAGGAGAAGGGTGACCTAGGCCAGAGCAGGCCTGAGGCAGCAAACTCCACAGGAGCAGGACTGAGCCAATGACCTAGGCTGGAGCAGGCCTGAGATGGCAAGCTCCATGGAAGTGGGAGTGGATCCAGACCAGGGACATTTACAGAAGCAGGACTGGGTTAGTGACCTAGGCCAGAGCAGGCCTGAGATAGTGAACTCTACAGAAACGGGACTGAGCCAGCAACCTAAGCCAGAGCAGGCCTGAGACAGTGAACTCCACATGAGTGAAAGTGGATCTAGACCAGGGGCATTTACAGAAACAGGACTCATCCAGTGACTCAGGTGGAACAGACTTGAGACAGCGAACTCCTCAGAAGCAGGTACAGGGGAGCAACTGCTGAGGGAGTAGACCAGAGCCAGAGACCTCTGAGCCAGGACCCCTGCAAGTC